GCAGGACAGGGACAGGGGCAGGGGCAATGACAGGGACAGGGCCAGGGTCAGGGCAGGGCCGGAGCAGGAGTACAAACTGTTCACCCAGAGGTTCCAGCCCGGACACCGGTAACCCTCCTGCTCCCCGGGCTCTGCCACGGGCGTTACGGCCAGACCCCGGTTCTGACAGGACAGACCCAGCTCCGCCCACCAAGCGTCCAGACCGAGAGGGCGCCCTCCAGGCGCTGGGTTGCTCTGAGTCCCAGGGACCCTCGGTCGTCCCTCCCTGAGAACTCGCTGCAGCCACGGCCGGGAGCAAGGGGAGGACAGCGAGTGCCCGGCTGTAGGCGCAGCTCTGCAGCCACCCAGCTGCCCCCAAACCGCTGTGCCTCCGGGGCTGCAACCCCAACGCTCAGATCCCAAACTTTTTTAAAAACTTGTTACATTTAGTTATTTCCGCTTTTGTTTTGTTAATCCTCACCTGAGGGTATTTCCCTACGGGTTTTTAGAAAGAGTGGAAGGAGGGGAGACAGAGAGAGACACAGCAATGGACTGCTTCTCACATGCGGATGAGGGATCGAGCCTGCAGCTGAAGTAGGAGCCCTGGACCGGAATCGAACCCGGGACCCTTCAGTGCGCAGGTCAATGCTCTGTCCACGGAGCCACCCCAGCCAGGGCCCCAAAACAGACTTTGAAAGTCCAGTTCAGTGGAGAAATGACCTCGTTCGAACTGCTGAGACTTCAGCTGCAAAGAGAATTCCAGGCGCTCTCGCTGGAGACCGAGCCACGCACGCCTCGGCCCCGCGGCCGCTCTACATGGAGGCCCGCTCTGCTGCTCCCCGGGCTCCCTGGCAGGCGCACGCATCCTGAGCACCTACTGTGCGCCTCCCGCTGGCTGGGCCCCGCGGACGCCCTGGCAAACGAGGCCCAAATGGACTCTGGGCACAGAAGCCGCCACCTGCCGCAGCCAGAGGGCTCTCTGCTCGGAAAGGGGCTGGGGGACCGCGACCGGCTCAGACACCCGCCGGGCAGGAGCGTCAGGGGTGAAGCCTGGAGCCCGAGGCCTCTAGCATTTTTAATGTAAAAACAGACAAAACAGCAGTTCTGGTTCAGAGCACCCGTTTCTACATATTGTTGAGGCCAACACTTAAAAACTGACTCCCTGATATGAGCTTTAGAATAAGATATTCCGGTCGGGCAGGGGTGGCTCAGTGACTGAAAGTCGACCTATGACCCAGGAGGTCAGGGTTCGATTCCCGGTCAGGGCACAGGCCCGGGTTGTGGGCTCCATCCCCAGTGCGGGGCGTGCAGGAGGCAGCCCATCCATGGTTCTCTCTCCTCATTGATGTTTCTATCCCTCTCCCTTCCTCTCTGTCTAATAAAAAATCAATGATCAAGCCACAACCCGGGCTGTGCCCTGACTGGGACTCAAACCCTGACCTCCTGGTGCGTAGGTGGACGCTCCGTCCCTGAGCCCCGCCAACGGGGTTTCCCGGCCTTTTGTCCCCTGGGCGGGTCCCCGGGGGCTTACCCTCGGTGGGGGAGCTGAACTTGGTCTCGCTGACGAAGGAGGACAGGTCCGAGGGCTGCGGGAAGTCCTGCTTGTCCGCCTCCAGGTCCACCGTCACGCACGCCCACTTCTGGCCGGTGACGGCCAGCTTCTCCTCGTCCGTCGCGTGGACCACGGCCGAGATCACTGGCGGCGTCTCCGGCGTGGCCGCGGGCGTGGGGTCCTGCGAGGAGGAGGGGAGCCATCCAGTGTCCGCGCCCGGCCCCGGCCCGGCCCTTGAACGAGGTGGGGGAAATGCCCAGGGTCCCCGGACACAGCTCTGCCCTTTGTAATAAAGCTCCTTTTCTGGCGGCTGGTCGCGGGGGCCGGGGCTTAGAGAAGTGGGGAGGTTGGGTTATCGGGCGTCTCGGTCATTTGAGATGCTCCTGCTCATTCACTTGGAGGAAAAGGACACTTTCACTTCTCGTCATTTTAGTGCTTTGATGCCTGGGCTGGGCCCACAGTCGCTCTGGGCTGTCAATCCTCGCACCTGCTGGTGGGGACAGAGAGGGCTCGTGCCGCCATGGCCGCAGGGGCCCATCCCCCATCCCCGCAGGCTGTGCAGCTGAGCAGGGGGGCGGGGGGAGCCCCGGGATGCCAGGGCGGAGCCAGGGCTGGGACCCAAGCCCCGTCCCAGGCCCGTCTCTCTCTGCAGCCCCCGCCCGGCAGGGGTTGGCTGGCTCCGCTGGACTGGCTCCGATGCGGGGGGGGTTTTAGGACAGCGATTCTCAACCTTCCTCTCGCCGCGACCCTTTAATACAGTGCCTCATGCTGTGGTGACCCCCAACCATAACATTATTTTCGTTGCTACTTCCTCACTGTAATTTCGCTACTGTTAGGAATCGTCATGTAAATATCTGATATGCAGGATGTATTTTCATTGTGACAAATTGAACATAATGAAAGCATAGTGATTAATCATAAAAAAAAATATGTAATTATATATGTGTTTTCCGATGGTCTTAGGCGACCCCTGTGAAAGGGTCGTTCGACCCCCAAAGGGGTCACGACCCACAGGTTGAGAACCGCTGTTTCAGGACCTGAAGGGCCTGGCACGCCCACCAGAGGGCGGACAGCCTTCCCTCGTCTGGTCTGCGACGGGGAGAAGACGTGTGGGTACCGGGTGGCAGAGCGAGTGAGCAGGGGCTGGGCCTCCCACTGGATGTGGGTTACAAACCCCAGTGCTCCTGCCTGGCTGGCGTGGCTCAGTGGTGAGCATCGACCTAGGAACCAGGAGGTCAGGGTTCGGTTCCCGGTCAGGGCACAGGCCCGGGTTGTGAGCTGGATCCGCAGTGGGGGGCGTGCCGGAGGCAGCCGATCCGTGATCCTCTCTCACCACTGATGCTTCTCTCTCTCCCTCCCTCCCTCCCTTCCTCTCCCTCTGAAATCAGTAAAATAAACAAATAAAAATTCCAGTGCTCGTGACACAGGCTCAGGCGCCTCCCGTGTCCATTTACCTCCACGACTCCCTGGACATAGACACATTCTCAGCAAACGAACAGGAGATGGGCGGCAGGTCCCCGAGGGGCCTCTAGCGCAGCGGTCGCCGGCCGGTGGTCCGAGGACCACTAGTGACCCATGAGGTCCGCAAGCCTGGCGACCGCTGCGCTAGAAAGCACCCCCACATCTCCCTGAACATCGTCCATCTCGGGACACAGCCCGACCCCCCACGGGGAGGGCATCCAAACGGTGTCTTGCCAACACCAGGAAGCGCCGTGGAGGAGGCAGGGAGGGTGCCGGCCGTGGGCGGAGACGGGAT